CGAACTTGTTTAAAATGTAAGGGCAATCAGTCATGGTGGGCTGAACCATGACTTTTGGGTATCTTTGCAGGACCTCCTCAGTTTTTTTGTTGACACCACATTACCGACCTATTCTCCCAGAGGCTACGGCCTGTTTGATCTTAAAAACTAGAGAGATTTGGAGAGCTCACGTCCGGACTCATGCTCTCTCCAAAATGCCCTTTGTACCTTTGGCACCGGAAAAGCTCTGGGTTGATTGGTATTCCATTCAAGTAGAGCCAGAACTTGGCCAGAGTTAAAACTCTACTTGACGGATACCACTTAGGACAAGATGCTGAGCTTTTTTCCCGCGCAGTCTTTCTCTGCGCTGGCCTCTCACTGAGTTTTTCCACGACCCTGGTGTGGTCTGCCATCGGGCTGCTTGATGTTTCACCACAGCCTTCTGGGAGTGGGGTGTACGGGCCGCGGGGGTGTCTGAAGATCCAGTCCTGCAAGACAAACTTTGCAGATTTTGTAAGTCTTTGCCCTGAAGGTCTGGTTTTATTGACTTAAGTGGGCACCATTTAATTTTACTGTCTTTCTTTATGGCTGCGTACCCTCGCCCCGTGAGTACCAGCCTCCAACCTGTCTCCCACTGTCCTAGCTCATTTTTGATCATTACATACGGGCCTTCCTCTAGCACCCAGGTGGCCCAGTGCCTCTGAGCAGGACTTTTGCCTTCATCTCCCCTTGGGAACTGATTTAAAGCTAGCAGGATGGTTGCTAGAATTCGTGCTTGATCTTTCAGCGGGATGGAATTGGTGAAGCCTTCTGTTTTTGCTAGCACCTCCAGTTTACTTTTTAGGGTCTGGTTCGACGATGGCCTGTCCAGTGCTGTTATATGGGATGCCATGAACTGAAGTTATTCCCCACCTTGCTGCGAACGCCTTTACCAATTTCGAGATGAAGCTCGGACCATTATCTGTTTTAATTTGCCTTGGGATGCCTAGCCATGCCATGGCTGTTAACCAGTGTTGGACAGTCACTCTGGAATCAGTTCTTTGGTGTTGTGTGGCCACGATTATCCCTCTGTAAGTATCCACTGTTACTGCAAGCCATGCCTGGGGCCTCAACAGTTGGCATAATGTAAAATCCATCTGCCATATGTCGGCAGCCTTGAGGCCCCTGGGATTGACTCCGCTGGACCACTATGGTGACTTCTGGCAGTAGGGACATGAGGCAATGACATGCCTTACATCAGTGACAGAGATGCCGCATTTCCTTGTGAGTGCTTTGGCCCTGACATGCAGGGATTCATGCAGCTGGCAGGCTACTCTTAGGGTCCACAGCCCTTTTGCAGCGGCGTCTGCTTTGTTGTTGCCAACCTGAAAGAATCCCTTGACCGGACGGTGGCTATTGATGTGGATGACAGAAATGGTGCCCCTTTGTGAATAGAGTGCTTCTTCCAGCATTGCCGCCACTGTGGACACTGCCACGCCGGGTTCGGCCATGGCTAGACAGAGTCTGGTCATGAATATGGAGTTGGTCATGATGTTGAGATGTTCCTCCAGAAACGGTCCACATGCCAGTGCCACAGCGGTTGGCTCGAGTTGTTGGACCGACAGCACAGGACCCGCTGTTTTAATACACCGCCACTGCTCTCCTGCCTGCCATACTACCGCTGCCATGAGGTTAATGAGGACGCATCGGTAAAGACCGTGGGTACTTCTCGTGGTCAGTCAATCACTTTAGGTGGCAGGTCGATGTAAACGACCACAAGCCACTGCGTCCATGGGGGTTTCACTGCGTACCCCCATCTCCTCCGAACCCAGCGAGGGCCATGGCCAGGTATTCTGATATTATTGGTGACTGTGCAGGAAGCTGTTTGCGGAAGGGTAGGTATACTGTGGTGGGTTCAGTGGCCAAATGTCTCAGAGCGAGCTTTCTGCCTTTCATGATGAGGCTACCAAGGTATTCAACTCCTGGGGAAAAGACACGCGATGGTTTTCTCAGGACCACCCATTGCATTGGTTGGGCTTTATCAGGGGGTCCCTGGGCTAGTGCACCTACTCCCCCTTGGAGTCCCACCTTTTGAGCGTGCTCGTTGACGTCTGATGTTCGATGAAGTCGAGCGAGCTCACTGCCTCTGGCGTCAGTACAATGTTTCCCCTTTTCCAGTCACTTGGGACTTCACCTGACTGGCATGAATTTTCAAGTGTCATGGAGAGTAGCTTGTCAACTGCATCGGCCAATTCCCTCAGGAGTCTGGCATTCATGTCGTCAGGTTCCATGGACTTCTGGACATTCAGGTTCCTTAGGTGGTCAAAAGCCCAATCTTTACAGTGGGAGGAGCTTTGCTTCCCTAGTCCCTGCCTTGAGAGGTGTGGGAAGAGAGATTTGTCAGTGGGGACTGAGGCAGCACAATTGGACTTCAGCCTTCTCCTAGTTTGTTACTATCAGTTTCCCAGCTGTGTTTCTTTCTTTGACCTCCCTTTTTTGGCTGAAATACCTATAGAAACTTTTCTTACTGTTCTTTCCCTTGCCAGATTCAGCTCCAGCCAAGCCTTGGCCTTTCTGACCCCATCCCTACACAATAAGGCAGCATTCCTATTGCTGTATTTTAATAAAATCTGGGACAATAGTAGAATACTTTTTATCTTGGAACTTTTGGACCACTAGTTCAAATATACCAGGTAAGCAGATAAAGAGGTCCAAATGTACTAGGTAAACAGATAAAGAGGTCCAAATGTACTAGGCTGGGAAATAAAGAGGTCCAGATGTACTGGGTAAATAGATAAAAACTTAATGACTAGCTTATTCCATTTTGAAAGGCAATAAAACTAAACTGACAAAAGTTTCAATCAATTTTCTTGTCATACAGGGATCAGTTATATGTAGCAATAGAGCATTTATTAATATTATATTATTAATAAGATAGATATTGTGTAATATATATTATATTATTAATATATGTTATTAATATTTTCAGCATTTATTAGGTTGCACAAAGTAATGTAATACCTACATCATTGTCATCTGATACACATGGAGTTGAAAAACAAAGGAAAATACCTAATACCTTGTCAAGTTCTATGTATTTCACCTTGCATGTTTTTTACCACTCATCTATTTGAAGGCAAAATTAACACAAACCAAAAGTCTGCAAAAATAAAAAGCTTCCTCAGAATGACACAATCTAATAAAGATGTTCCTTCCTGTAATATAAAGCATATTTGGGATTTTTCTTTTGCTTTCAATAAAATATTCAAATATTCCATCAGGAGTTTACTTGAAAAGAAAAAAGAGACTGAAACTTTGAACCATGGTGCGAATTTTTCACAGCAAAACAGATGTGGAATTACCTGGAAAAGCAGGATCAGCACAGCTTGAAGGAAATCTCCATCCCACTAGCTGCCTAGCAAAACACATGAGAGGTAAAAGAGGTGTCCATCATTGCATCCCCTGGGAGGAAAGAATTGAAAGAAACATCATCTCTGTTCTTGTGATAGGTAGGTGACAGAGGTTTTTCTCCTAGCCTGGATAGATTTTGAATGTGTTCCCATTCAGTATCACAATTTCTTAAATAACAGGAAAGAAAAGACTCTCTGTTGCTCAAAGCAAGAGCACTAAGATGCTTGCCTGAGAAGTTATGAGAGAGTTTTAACAGTGCTGTGTTTTGTTCAGCTTGTCTTGCAATCAATGTTCAGTCTCCTACCACAAACAAGTATCCTGGTCACCAAGACTCTGAGCTCTTGCAGAGCTGGGACATAAACTTTAAAGAATTTAGGGATTTTAGAAGAGCTGAGGTTTTAGTTAGAAATAAGCTTTATTGGAGTTAATCAAAATAAATGGGTAGGCCTTGATGAGGTTAAGAGTTAGTAGTTAACTAATAATTGATTGCTTTCAACATAATGTTTGGTTAGCTGGGTTTATAATGAAGAATATAGAAACTGATAAATAGCTTTTAGGAACATAAGACAATTGTAGGCCTCCTCTGTTCTGAAACCAATTAAAAACAGGAATGGGAGTTCTACCAAGGGTTCATTTGTCATATTTGCATTGAAAAGGTAGAAAGGTCAGAACGAGGAAGACTTCATTTACTTCTTCATTTTGGGACCCCTCCCCATGAAAGGGACCACTGACCCATTTCAAGGAACAAACTACAGATGCTTAATAGCTCTTGAACTAATTACCACACGAAGCAGGAAATGGGATGTACCGAAGTTATGAACATGCACTTGTATTTTGGGTATTCAATACTTGTATAGATAAAAGGACTCTGTAATCACCTGTAAATTGCGGTGTGTATTTGGGAGCTATCCCAGACGCTGCCCAGAATCGCAATAAACATACACTTTCTAACTTTAAACTGTTAGAGCCTCTTTGTCCATCACAGTTGGATATCGGTACTAGATCAATATGCATATTTTTAATAAATCAGAGTCTTTTGTCTTTTCCACTGCAGCAACAGCACCAGCTATTCCTTGCTGACAGGAAGGACAAAATGGAAGGGCATTGTTGTAGTTCAGTGACTGTAGTGCCTCAGTTTTTCCTTATGGCTGTAGTTTTTAGGAGAAGCTCAACGCTAACTCTGGGAAATCATCCCCATTGAAATCAGCATGTGAATCCCCAGCATAGCATCTTTCATGGAAAAAAAGTGGAATAGAGATCATGTCATTTGTTTAAGTGGAACTCTGAGTGCTTTTTTGTATGACATAAAAAAATACAACAATATTCTCAGGTATGTGTGCTGCATTGATCTTACTGTTCCTGCTGGGTAGCAGTCTATATTTACTTGAATTATCTTAGATATAAATATGAGGGCATAAGTGCTCTCTGACTAAAGATCTTACAGATGACTACTGCAAACTCACAGTGTAGCTCTAAAATAGAAAGCAGCATGTGACTCTTCACTCTGGCTTCCCAGGCTCCTGCTAGCAGCAAGCAGCAGTTGCAGATAAAAATAGGAGGTTGTAAACAACTAGGATCTTTAGTTAAATATAGAAGTCACTCTCCATGACAGTAAGGAGTCCAGGACAACAATGAAGTCTCTCCGATTCATTAGCGCCGAAGCATTCGTGTCAAATGCAGAGTTTGCCAGGAAGAGTCTCGGGGCTGTTACTCATGATCTTTTTCCGCTTCTTTTCAAAGCTAGCTATTTACTGGAGCAAGGGGAAGTGATTCACGACTTGGTAGAGAACTGGCCACTTTTTGATTTTAACATGGGAAAACTTTTGGGAGCTACTCTGGACTATGAGGAAGACCTAAGCCATAGAACATGCTCAGTGTGCTTGGAAAGCTGTCTGACAGGGCTGAGAGACTATGTGCTGAATCAGTCTTCTCCCTACATGAAAAAGTTGAAAGTGGTCGACCTGACGGGCATAAAAGATGTTGAAGTTCAATTTTGTAAGTGCAAGAAGACAATGGGCAGGTGGGCCAGGACACAGCTGCTCTCTAAGCTTTGTTCAGACCTCCTGGTTTACCTGCAACAAGCACAGTGCAGTCCAGGTACCTTTGAAGTCAGTATCAATGTACTAATTGACTTGTTTGTTACAGAGCGGAACTATGAGCTGGTTGTGCAGGCCCTGTTGAAGAAATGCAGCTGTCCACTGAAAATCTGCTGTGTGGCATTCAGATCTGACAACCTGACCTTGCAGAAATTCTTCTATATCATAAAGCTCACCGATCCCTCCTTGTTGCGCAAACTGGAAATAGTTCATAATGTTCACTTGGAAATGGAACATTTGGAAATGCTCTTCAACTGTATCCACTTCCCTCTATTGATGTCCTTGACCTTGCCAGCACAAACATTTAATGTGCGGAGGTTCACAGCTACGGACGAACAGACGCTTACTAAAATTGGCGAGAAGATGGGTGAAATGACACAGCTTACTGAGCTGAGTATGTCATTTTCTATACTCACTGGAAGAATACAGAAACTTCTCAGGTAATGTGGTCATCCTGCTTTCAGTCACACTGTAAAAAAGAGCACTTTGTGCCACCATCAAGCTAGGAATCTCTAAGAGTAAGGGAAGTGAGTGTATGTTGGGATGTATGTGGGAGGGGGCAGCAGGAAGCTAGGAAAGATTATGTGTTGGGAAGAATCAGCAGCCAAAGTATACCTAATACACTTTGAAAAACGGACTATTTTGATTAATCTTCCAGAGTCCATCTGGTGAGAATATACTTTTAGCTACCACAGAAGAGATGAGTATACCCAGACACTTTTTATTTGAACTTATGTATTAATCAGCTTGCATCGGCCTTTGGTGTAAGCCGTGAGCTGTATTCCAAGTATTTTTTAGAGTATCTAGTGAATGTTTGTCCTCTAAAGAACAGTCAGTAAATATGCTTTTCCACAGATACTGTATTTTAAGGAGGGCAGGGGAATAGTTGATTTTCATTTGAGGCTTTGATTTGAATTATTTGTTCTGTCTCTTGATGTCAAGACAAGAGTTTTTTGTATTGCAAATTAAGCTGATATGTGAATATTCATTGTGAATTCCAGTGGAAAACTGGCAATTTGCAAAAAGCTAGCCAACTACCAGTGAGCGGTACTTATACTGGAACAGGTAATAAGTTAATTGTAAGCTTTTCAGAGCATCTAAAAAAAAGGCAGATAAAAGTTTCATACAGACAAATGATCTTGGTCTAAAATTCTTCCCATACAAGAAACCATTTTATTTAAAATTTGTGAGTAGCATACTTCATATATTGACTGGTACAATTGAAATGAATTGCAAGTTTTTAAGCTTGATCCAGCTGAACCCTGTGGGAGAAGTCTCACTAAGGTGTAGTAAGTATGAAAGCGATCTCTTGCTTTTCATTTGTCAGAACTGTTTTATATTTAACATAAATATCTGAATAAAATCTCAGTTACACTTCTTACGTCCTTCTTCATCAAAATGTCTCTTTGCAACTCCAGAACACCACAATGTCTAAACCACTTGGACATTAAAAAATGTAGCAGAAAAAAACCAGCTAGAAATGAAAGCAGATATCCTGTCAGAATGCTTATTTTGTATTGGAATTAATCCTTCCTTAATGGAAATTATCTAAATCTCTGGAATTATTGCAGCTTTCTACAAGCAGCTACCAATGCTCTTATGGTAGTAGTGATCTGCTGTTAAAGTCAGCAAGTGACAGACACTTTACAATATATAACTGGTTAAAAAATAGATACATAAAATGTTAGTAAATTAATCCCCATTAAAATAGTGCAGTGGACTCATGCATAGAAAGAGGTATTTAATGGAACTAATTTCAGGAAGAAAATCTACTTGCTGTTGTTGTCACATACTTCTGTTTTCAAGAGAGGTTTGAAAAAATTATTTGGTAGATGGCTGCATTCATAATGTGGCTAGATGCATGAAATTTTGTAAATGTAGCTTTCCAACATTTTGTACCATAAAGCATTTTTCTCTTTAATTTTGCAGCCCACTAAAAACTCCACTGAAGATGCTGGATGTTTCTAACTGCTCCTTGAACCATGCTGATATAGCCTTTTTAGCCAATAGCTTCCATGCCAATCACTTGGAAACCCTGGACCTGAGTGGTCACGATATACCTGAGCTTTACCCATCAACATTCTTTAAGCTCCTCAGCCATTGCTCTTCGGTGCTCAGGAGTCTTACTCTGGAGGACTGTAATATCCAAGACACTCATGTCAACATGTTGATTTTAGGTTTAAGCCCTTGTCAGAAACTACAGGAGTTTAAGTTTATTGGAAACCCACTGTCATCCCAAGCACTTAAACACCTTTTCACATTTCTCTGTGAATTGCCAATGCTGAAAAATGTGGAGTTCCCCGTTCCAAGGGATTGCTACCCTATTGGCATCACCTACCCCATTGATGATGCCAGTGTTTGCAGATTTGATCACCAAAAATATGAAGGGGTAGCAGAGGAGCTTAATCTCATTTTACTCCAAGCAAATAGAGACGATGTGAAGGCTTCAACGCCACTCTTTGGGAGTTATGATGCAGCTGTTCAGGAGACAAACAATGAACTGGGAGCTTACTTGATCAAGTCCTTCAAAGAGACTTTAGAGAAGTTCACTTCTTCATTTAACAAAATTAATTAAATTTGTAAAATTGTGAAGTAGTGATGAGATGATCTGCCAAATCAGAACTTAAATTAGTCTTTTCTAGATCTTCACCTCCAATCATCAGTTGTGAATTTCCTTTAATTTTTCAGCTGAATTTACTATTATTTGAATAGCCTCTAATCACCTGAGGTACTGTAACTTATGCTATATCTGTTGCATACACCTTACACAAGCACTACTTCCCACACATAGAGAGTACTTTAATTGGAGCCTGAGTGGTAAACAAGTGCTACTCAGCTTCTCACCTGTAAAACTAGAGACTTGGTTAGCTTCTAGGTAATTAAAAAAATAAATATAATAATATTAAAAATATATATAATAAATATACTTTAATAGTTTATGAAAACTTGTTCAAACAGGACTGAAAGTGAATGTTTGTAGCAGGAGCTGAAGGTGTCACTGTAGTATTGAGGATAATCATTAAGATAACCAGGACAGTTTATTTGAAATAATACTGAGCCTCATCATCTGAGGGTAAGGAAAACACTTTCTTCATTTAGGCAGTGCTGATTTGTCTAGCTTTCTTTTTATCTACAGTAGGAATATGCAAGCAACTCTTAACCTAATTTATTTTAAAAATCCCCCAAACAAACCAAAAATTAATGGACCGAGTACTAAGCAGAACTTAGAGGTTCCACAGCATGCATTTAAATGATTTTTTTGATGTCAGCTCACATTCTAATGTGTTTTATTGATTGAACATATGATGGTAAATTGAAAGTGAATGGTCATGACCTGTTTATGTTTACAGAGCACTTGAGAAATAAAAAGGTAATCTAAATTGCTAAACTAAGGAGTTGTGACTAGTAAATGACAGAATTGGGTCCCATATGACCTTACTTATACTTTGACAGAATTCCACATGCTCCTTTATCCTTACCTCTACTGTACCTTTTCTTCCCTCCAACCTCACCATTCTTTCCATCTCAGACTCGACCCATGACTTCTCAGTCAGATTTAAGTTACTTGAATTTTGCTATGCCAAAAGTCTACTTCTTTGGGGTAAGTAGTGGTGTTTTTCTTGGGAAAGGACACTGTACTATAGCTGTAAAAGTGTAGTGATTCTTCCCCCCTCCAATCTACAGGTTGTACCTGAAGGTGAAGGCTGGCCATTTTGGAACATGCTGTGGTACAACAGTCGGTCCTTGCCTTTTTCGGTTCTCACAAAATAGACAGCTCTAATTTCAGAATAATTAGATGCCTTATAAAGTCTGCTGTCTGTGTAGCTCTCCTTCTGGTTTCTTCTTGCCGTGCTTCACCCCTTTACTTTATTTCCTCCTTTTTCTGAACCCACAAACTCCTGCCTTTCTTCCATTTTCTATATGGAAGAAATCTTCATGTCTATATGCTGGCTCCTGGGCCAGCAGAAGCATGTAGCTTTTGTTTTGGTGCAAAGTGACGATCATCACTATGACTATTTTAGAGCTTTAGCTCTGAGATATGGCACCTTCTTCGCTTTAGTTTCTTTCTTAATTATGGTTGCTATCATTGGTTTTAAATACAGGTCAAGCTTTAACATTTTGATGTTTGCCTGACTTACTGCAACAAGGGTTGCTGCATGTCTTCTGCCCCAGTAGTGTGATTTTGGTTTGGACCTGCTCTTTCTTCTTCCATGTGTGTGGGACTTGGAACACAGCTATTAAGAAGAAGGATTAATGCTACGATGACTTAGCTATATAAAGTTACCTTACACTTTGCAAGTACAGACAGATACTGATTGAGTCCTGTTTGGTGTTCCCTTCTCTTCCTTATGGGACTACTGTCAGCTTCACTGGGTTCAGACTGGAGTGGATCCAAATTAATTTATACTGAATATCCAGAAAGCTGTCTGAAATCTTAACTACACACCACCTTGAGAGGAGACAGTCTTCTAAGCTCCAGTTAAGGCTGCCCAGACAGAGACAGGGCAGGAGTTACCACAACACTGAAACCACACAGCTGTCAATGGAAAGAAGATGTCTGATGTGTTGTGAATGGAGATGAATTCAATTCCCTCCTACCACATCTGCTCATTATGTTCCTTTAAGTGTCTGAAGAAGAATACTCAAAGTCACTTCAGGTTTATTTGTGAAAGACTCAGAAGAGATGCAGATGTAAAAAAACCCTGAAAATCAAAACCATTCCCATCATTTTCAAATGAATGTTCTAAACACAAAATGCAATAATGAATATCACAGCTAAAGGCTGAATTTTTAGTTCCAATGAAAAGAGACTGCTATTTTTTTATTTTATTCACCATGCTTTATTCAGTACCATGTTTTATTTACTATATTGTACTTTTTTATTCATTAGCATATTTTAATTTCATTTGCTGGGACATGTTTTGTTCAGCAGCAATCGCTTGCAAATCTTTCTCTTTTGCAGGGTAAGGATTGCGAGAAGAGCTTTCTGCTGCTGAAATTGCTGAACTCCCCTATTCAGTAACTGTACTGAATTCAGTGAAATACCTAGTACATAGGAAATAAATATTCTCCTTTAACAAACTTCATGAAACTGAAGAACAGGCAAAAAATCTTTATAAATGACCTTTGCTACATCTGATCTCTTCATAATTTAAGTCATATTATGTTTTGACCACACACAGAGTAGTTGAAAGAAGCAACAGGAAGAAAGATGACAGTAAGATTTTTACTGTGGAAGAAGCAGCACAGCATCTCTGTACTTGGAGACAGCTATCTCAACAACATAAAAGCCTATCAATAGAAAAAAGGCAAATAAACACTACTGTTGCAGGGAAAGTTGTCATACATGAAACTGAAGCAAGTTTCCCAATATAATCCTACGCCTTTTAAATTAATATTCTTAAACTCAAAAGTTATGGACTACAGGTCAATTCTTCTGAAGGCATATGACCTTTGCTTACAAAGCTCCTCTTTCTCTCCTTAAAATATGCATCAGTCAACAGCAGAGCAGGACTGTATGAACTACCTTGCAAAGAAACAAGGGAAGGAACATAGTACCTAATGCTCTCCACATACTGCCTTCAAGTAAAAGTACCCTGTGTGAAAATTATTGTGTCTAGGATAATAATTTATGATGTAAATTTAACACCTGTTTCAATGAATGTGTGGCCAGAGAATCAAAGCTGCCTCTGGTTAATCCTAAAAGCAGCAACTGTAATCATTATTTTGTAGGGATTTTTAGAATAGTCTTATACCTAGACAAAGAAGCTTTACTTTTGAAGAAAACACATCGACTGTGACTGATGATTGCATTATTTTTAAAAGTCTTTAAATTGCATCCAGCATAATCTTCTCTATCATTCTTTCAGGTACTAAGGTTAAAGATATTTTGCTGTCTAAGGTACAGCTGCATTGATATTTCTTAATTTTACCCAAGAAATTTTTACAAAATAATCCTAAAGATAGTTTTAATCTCCAGTAGAATGTGCAAACTTAATGCAGCAGAGGATCACAGGATTTTAAGGGGAACACAACTTGTCTGTCCAGAAAAAAGAAAAATGATTTCTGTCTGTGGAAGATGATCGACTCTCCACCTTGTTCTCAACTTTAAAGTATTTTAAATTCCAGAACTGAGAATATTCAAACATCTAAAACACCTTTCTGTTCTGGTAATTCATAATGAAGATGGAGGTAATTTTTTTTCCTTCTCAATCTTTCAGTCAGAAGTGATTTTTTTTTGTTCCTATCGCCTCTGCTGTGAACTGTGGGAAATCATGCACTGAGCTGTTGCTTTTTCCTTTGCCATGCTTTTCTTCACGGGGCTGAAGGTTTCTCTTCATCTCAGAGCCACCATACAACATTGGTTTTACTTGTTAGAGTTTTATTTGTTTGCTGTAGAAGGTTTTACAAACTGAAAGACAACCTTGGCTATGCTTCTTATTTGTTTACTTTTTATTTTGAGCACCAGCTAACATGCTCCTAATGAAGCAGGACTATAAGCTTCATTAATGCTTAATAAAAGTTGTATTTCTTTCTGTTTGTTTGTTTCTTTTTGTTTTCTGCAGTGGTTTGATATTTTGACTCTCTTGCCCATTTCAAACTTGGAATGGAAGTGAGCTCTGCTATTCCCTTGGCTCCATTTCTCCAGAGGGTCTTCCTTGTGCAAAAGAGCCTGTGCTTGGAAGAACTCTCAGCTTGCTGCACAGTTCACTGCTGCTGCTTCCCAGCTCTCCCTGTGTCAAATACAAGTGTGGGCAAGCACTAGAGTGGTTTTCATGCATCACTGGCCAAGATACACAGTGGCAGAGCACATTTTGGAAGGCAAAATATGTGCTTGTCTTTGATGCATGACCTACTTTGGAAAATGCCTCGTGGCACCACACATTTCTTCTTTTGTGTGTGGTTGGTATCAATCCGCACTCATTCTTTGAAGTTCTCATTCTCTTTCGTAAACCAACATAAGGTCCTGCTTCACTTGGGATACTTTGTGTATTTCAAAGTGCTTTTGGCTGCAACGTCTCAGATGCGTAGCAGCCAGGTCAGGACGGACTTGTTCGTCTGGCAGGTGAATTCCCTCCTTAGGTCATGCAGCTCACCCAGGGATAGACAGCAAGTGATGATTTCTGGCTCTGACAGTTCCGCTGGGTGCAAGGGTCCTGCCACATCCTCATCAGCCATGATGCAGACTGATTTGCTCTTTGATTTCTTCTTCTCAATGGGGACAACTGCTACTGGTTCAGGCTGTTCTGGTTCGGTGACGATCTGTGTGGAGATGCTGATGATGCTTTTCGTTTCTTCCTCCTCTGTGACAGTCTGCATAGACACAGACACTGTTTTGCTTTTTGTTTCTTCCTCCTCTCTGACAGTCTGTGTAGACATGGATGCTGTTGTGCAGCATTTGGTTCTTTCCTCCTCTGGCATTCTGTGCAGACATGGACGCTGTTGCTTTGCTTCTCCTTTCCTCTTCCTCAATAAAACACTGAGCCATACCATGTAGAGCTTTGTTTCTAAGCATGTTGCAGGCTGTGCAGGGAAGACAAAGAGGAACCAACAACAACACTATGCTGTCCATGG